TGACCCCAACAACTGTTGGTCAAAAAAGGGAAAGTCCACTTGATGATAACCAAGGGTAGACTGATCCGAAGTCCATGGGGTGGGGAAGAAGGCATATTAACACCCTCCCCCATGAGAGGAAAATCGGTCCACATGAACCCTAATATCGGGAGACGGGGGAAAGACTAAATAGGGTCAGGAGGTTGTATCATGTAAGAGGGAATGTCTAGGATCATAGGAAACAGGTGTAACAAAACACCCATACCTGAGAGATAAAGTCTGAAAAGATGGATGATGAATGATCTGAATCATCAGGTAGTGAACAGGAAGGCACAGCAAACTCCGGGGGAGGGGAACAAACAATCAAAATCGTCTTCAGCTTGGCCCAGCTTGAAAGGCTCAGGAGGAAGTGGGGCACAAGTAGGTGAGAGAGGTTGGCTCATGTACCACTCAATCTCCCATTGAAAGAGCAACGATATATACTCCCGAAAGTTTGCTTGTGCCCGTGGCTGAAAATACTGCATCAGACGCTGGCAAAGCACCCGAAGTGGTAACTGTAACATCGGAATTCATAAGTATGAAAGAGCAGCAACCACGAGTAAGTAATGCTTTTATAAAAATATTAACTCCCCAACAGTGAAGTGTAGTAAATAAAGTTAAGAAAAAAATAAAATAAACCACTTCAAGGTAACTGAACAATGTAAGAAAGAACATCTGAACTACACAGCTGCCAAACGAGAAGTGATAGTTCAGTAGTAGTGTGTAGTAGGAGTTACATGCGCCACTTGATAGTAGTGCTCTCCTATTGGTGGAAAGATGACGCATAATGATTTGCATGAGAGACGTGTTCAAACTTGGGATTCCAACAGAGGGATGATGAAAGCTTGCGGCATACGTTTCTGAAAAAGTTCACATACAGAGAGCAGCACAAAACGAGTAAAGCTAATCTTGTGAGAAGAGGGAGAGTACCCTATTGGAAGTAACAGGTGCATTGCACAGGCTGAATGTCATGACAAGAAATTCATATAAGCCATATCAAGTGCTGAAAATGGTCTTAGATCTGTTTCATCATCCAGCAAAACTTGCTAATAACCAGAGGACAATTTTAATGTACTGAATTAATGGATGCCTTCCAAAAATACATTTTTCACTGTGTTATAAATGGATAAATCCACTCATCCACCTCAAGTCCACGTGGAACATTGACATATTTTCCTCCTCTCTGACAAATATTACTGGAGACAACCATAAGTTATTCAAATATTGTATTAATTCAATTACCAGTATCTTATTTGTCAGCACTGGCTAGCTCCCTAGTGCTCCACAGAAGAGTGCATGGCATTTTCTTTATAGGTTGTATGTTATTTGTGTCTGTGTATGGACGTGTTAATCCTATGTAATTCAAACAGGCTGAATAGCCAGAAGTCCATTAGTTACAGATAAGAAACAGAAAAATTATAACACCTGAGGAGGCAGCTACTGAAGGGAGTACTTCCTGATTATACGACACAAAAAAGTTTCATGTTTCAATTCTATGACTGCATAAGATGGTGTTAATACACTTGACTGCATGTGTAGTACATCATTTGTACCTATGAAGACAGTAACTTCCAGCTCAACATGCACTCATTCAGACTACTGTTCTTGGGCCCAATCTAGTCACCATAGGAAATCCTTTTTGTACAGCTGCAGTTCATCTACAAAACTAGCTAACAACATTTTTCAGTTCTCTAAGATACCAATATCTGAACTAAGACAGTACCAAAGTTAAGTCAGACACATGCTTCTACACTCACATCTGGTCTGTCGCCATATAAAGAACAATATTTGTACTAATTGGCCAAAGTGATGTCCTCACTTGGAGAGCACAGTGCATTGCAAGACTGAATAACCTGCTGGCAGTTCTACTAAATCTCTCACTATTAAACTTTAAACTTGAACAAAAAGATTACTCAGTTCTCTACCAGGTCAAAATATTGATACTACTAAGTTATAACTGTGTTCCAGTCACTAAGTTGCTCTTGGTACAGGTGTTTGATCTTGTCGGTCACTAGGACAAGACTAAACATCAAATGTTACACTGCCTGCTAACAAGACCATCCATTCCACACAGGTCTGGTCACATTTTCTTTAGGTGCCCCCTTGAACATCACAGGAGTTAGTTTCCTTATCCATTCTTGGCGTACAAATAAATATGTGATCAAATGATTTCAGGGACATCTCAGACAAACCTGATGTTATGGATACTGACTTATATGGTCCCCACTCTCAGTCAAGAAAGCAAAGTGTAGCCAGAAGAAACATGTAGTTGTCCTAATCTGCAAAACCTCATTTTTTAAAATGATTCCTAGTGATTCAACAGCTCACCTATATTATCAAGGAGTTTACTGACTGTCTCAATGGTCACCAGCTGGATGACTTCATCCCCTATTGGCACTTAATCTCCTCCTGGCCACATGTAACAATGACTAGCAGTAGGGCTTGACTCTTCTGACCGATGATAACCTGGGGCCCTACAGAGATATTCCCATTTGGTCTCAACATTTTCAGACCAGAAGGCAAGATAGCCTTAAGCCTGAAGAAGATCAGTTGTTTCAATTTCAATGTTGTGTTCTACAATGATTTTGTTTTGGTACAGAACTGAGCCTGTAAGTGTGCCCATTTGCATATGTGGTGAAAAACAGCATCAAGGAAAACATTTTTCCTATGTTATATTACATCACAGTTTATTGCAGTTTCAACCTCCTCTTCTTGCCTACAAGTTCATTATCTTAAAAGTACCATTTCCAAGGTTTTTTCAAAGTTTAGATTTAAGTGCTATGAGTATAAAGGAGAAAAGCACATGACAAGACCCAGAAACTCCACAAAAACAGATCTTGTAGTCATAGCACCCTAATTTCAATCTGCCCGAAAATATGCTGATGAGTTTGACTTCCAAATTTTAACAATACAAGGAAATAGACAAGAAACAAATTTTCACAATAACACAAAATGATGTGGTCAACATAACACATAAATGGAGTTAGTAGATGTGTCCCGAAGACACTGGATGCATGCACTTCTTTCTACTTCAAAAGCCAAAAAAGATCTGTATTCTATACTGAGATAGTTAACCACCAAATACTGAATAATATGACCAAGAAAACCCAAATGTACAAGCTTAGAGATTTTCAAGAAATAAAAAAAGGAGATACCAAAGGGATGAAACAGTATAATTTGTAATTGGATCAAGAGTAACATCAATATAATACAAAGCCAATTTGATTTTTTGTGTAAAAAGTAAAAAAACAGCTGGTACATTATGTACCGCAAAAATCTATCTGAAGATGGCAAGAGTTAGAAAAACAATAAAAAAGTGAAAGTTCACCAGGAATACAGTAAACAATTTCATAACAAAAAATTAAATTCAGAAATAAGTGTAGACAACTTTATCAATATAAAAATGATGCACAATATCAAGAGTGTTGGATAGATGACCTCTGCAAATAGGAACTTGTAAGTGAAGGAGAACCTGAAATATCAAAACTGTTCAATAAGGCACATCACAGAATGATTACAGCATGTAGCTGAAAAAAAAAAAATAAAAAAATATATATATATATATATATATATATAAAAA